CTTTGGAGTGGATGGTGGAGTAGTTGGCAGCCATGGATCTTGTAAAGCTCTAATCGAGAACCCATCACCCACCTGCCAACGAAGACCCTATTCTAATAATTCTCGCCCAAACAAAACGCTTCGCCAACCCCAAGAAGGATTAGATCCTAAATTAGCATCCAGAATCGAAGAAGAATGACTGTAATAGCGGCCTCGGTAAATACGAGCTAACAATGACGTCGGATCATCCAAAACCCTCCAAGCCACCTTCGCAAGTAAAGCCTGGTTGAAATCACCAAATTCCCTGAAGCCTAGCCCACCGGATTGTTTACTTGAACATAAAAGCCTCCATGAACGCCAGTGAATCCTCCGATGTTGAATAGTGGCACCCCACCAAAAACGTGCCATGTGAGCATTGAGTCGCTTTATAAGCTCCGAAGGAAGGCGGAAACAAGACATGATGTAAATCGGTAATGCCGATGCTACCGCTTTGAGGAGAACTTCCTTACCTGCAGCAGATAAAGTACGTTGTTTCCAACCTTGAAGAACGGATAGAAGCTTCTCCTCAACAAACCGGAATGTCTCCATCTTGGATCTACCTAGTAATGAAGGCAGCCCTAAGTAGCGATCTTGTAGTCCAATTGAACCCACACCAAGAAACGAACCCAACTCCTCCTGATCATGTTGTAACAAATTAGGGCTGCAGTAAACTGCAGATTTTTGAAGATTTACTCGTTGGCCACTGATATTCTCAAAGTCACTAAGAACCTGAAGAAGATTGACAGCATCCCGCAGCGAAGCTCTTAGGAAAAGGAAGGAGTCATATGCAAAAAGAAGGTGTGAAACAGGAGGACAGCGTGGATTAATACGAACTCCATGAAGCTCATGAAGAGCCACTGCCCTTTTGATTATGGCTGTAAAGCCTTCCGAACAGATTGCAAAAAGCAAGGAAGAGAGGGGATCCCCTTGACGTAAACCACGAGACGAGGGGAAATACCCTGACGGTTTCCTATTCACCATGACCGAGAAGGTCACAGAAGTAACACATTCCTTAACCCAGTGAATCCAAGTCGGAGCAAAACCCATTTTGCGAAGAAGAGCAAACAGGTAAGCCAACTTATTCATTAAAAAAAGATCAGGCCCAACTTGCTTCCAGAGTTGACCATTCAAGTTTTATGGGCTTCGGGTCCAGAACCTTCCGGCAGCATTACAAGTTTATAACACCGGCTAGTAGAACCCACGTCAAATTGGGAAAGAAGGAACTAGAAAGGATTGCTCCGCGAACAGCCAACGGAGGGGGCGAACGGCCGGCGATTCAGTCTCTCCGATTCCTAAACAACTCAAATTCTCTGCAGTTTCCGTCAATTCATTGATGAAACTTCACCAGGGGCTCTGACTGAAGTTCTTTCATCTTCAATTGTAATTTGGGGCTCCAAGCGATGGGGGAAGAAGAGCAAGGGAAGAAACGGCGGGTGGTGGCGGAATCTCTGGGATGGCTGACGGAGTCAACTATCATGCCGAAGAAGCACCGAGCCATCGAGGGCGTCGGCGCTTCTTCCATCGTCGAGCTTAAGGCTCAGCTCTACAAATCGCAGGAGGAAGCCAGGAAAGCCAAGGACTTGGCCGGTACAGATGTGGAATATCATCGCGCCAAGAAGAAAATCTCCCCCCACGATGCTTTCTCCGTCAAGAATTCCGGTGTTGATTCCCGAGCGCACAAGTGAGTCCCTTTTGAACATTCATCTTGCCTTTACTTCCCCTCTTTCGTATATATTGCATTAATTCCCAAGCGCTTAGAATTAGGGTTTCGGTAATCAATTAGTGGATGAATTCTTCCAATTTCTCTGATTCCAGGGACAAGCTTGAACTGAAAGCGGTTCAAGATGGGTCGGCGAGCTATGCCGCGTTGGAGAAGAAGGCAGCGTTATACGAGAAGCTAGTAAGAGGAGAGTTATCGGACGAGGAAGCGGAAGAGAAGTACTGTGTTGATTTTTTCCGTAAAGGAATTGAGGTAGAGGAGTCCCAGAAGTCGCAATCCCCTGAAACTTCTTCCAGTGCTGCTGCTGCAGCGGCAAGTGTGAATGATGAAGATGGCGGTGATGGTCCAGCTGGTCTATTTAGTACGAAATTTGTTAAGCCTGGCCAATCAGGTGGAGCATTTGACCAAGATGAACACAGGCGTTTTGTCAGGTACTTACAACCTGTTCTTATGGAATTCGATTTGAGCATAACTTTTGTGAAAGTTCTGTTCTTGTTGTTAATGTGGGTTTGAGGTTTAACTTGAAAATGGCTCTTGGTGCTGGTTAGCAAATTGAGTATCTAGGCGTGAGAAGGGACCTTGGTATTTGCAAAGTTGTAGACTTTGCTTCTTTTGAAATAGATTAGGCTGCAGAATCGAATCAACAATATGTGATTTTTATACATTTTTGCTCTTCTGGCCATATTGTGCAAAGGTTGTCTGGCTGTCTGGAGTTCAACTCCTTTCTGTAAAGGACTGGTTGTTCTTATTTTGTTTTAAATGGTAAGTTTATGTATGGGTTTCTGCAACTAAATATGATCATACTATGGTCTTCAACATTAGATCTCTTCATGAGACCAGCCTATCTAAGGAGAAATTTAAAGGGTTGGTTTCTCCCTGCGATTTCCCTGTACATGTTCAACATTTTCTATGATCAGATTTTTCTGTAAGGGATGAAATCGCTCTAAAATAAAATTTTCCATCAAATAGTTATCATTCGGAAGATAGCTTAATTCAATAGTCAAGAAAGAAGGGCTAGAACAGGGAATTAGTTGACAGGCTAGGTATCTTCTATAGTGGATGACTTACCCCCTTCTTTTATATGGTGGATATTATTGCCTTGTGTATACTCTGATGTGCTGATAAAGAGAAGTACTAATGAAGGTCCATGGTTTGGTTATGGTATTATGCAGTCAAGTTCATGAAGAAGCAAATCAAGCAAGAGAGAAGGTGTCGGAGATGAAATTGCAGAGGCAAGAGAAGGTAGAAGCTCGCCGCAAGAACTTCAAGCAGGCATATCTTCTGAAGAAGTTGGAGAAACTAAAAGCTGCTGGAACCTCTTTAGAACAATCTGTAGAAGGGGGGAAGTGATGGCTCCCCATATTGTTTTGGAATATATGATGAACTGCTGAAAGATGTTATGAGGTCATCACTCATGTGTATAGACAGCAAAATTCAATACACATTTTCTAAAGCCTTTCCTTTTCTTCCTTCATCTCTTCCCTACTACAAAGTATAAAAGGTCGATGGAGATTGTGGGAATGAAATGGGCGGCACCGGCCTGCCTCTTATTAATAGGATTTCTGCAAATATTAGTGGGAAAATGAAAAAGAAAAATAATATCGACTCCGCTGGGGATCGAACCCAGAATCTCTGGTTTCGTAGACCAGCGCCTTATCCATTGGGCCACGGAGTCCTGTTGTTGATGTAGAATGCAAAGTTTATATTTACTAATTTTATTTACCTCACATCACCTGTCAAGGCAGTCCAGGAGGCGGACGCAATTCAAATGCTGAATGTAGCAAACAAATTTCATCTAAAGTATGCAATTTTGGGAGAGAGGAAGAAGGCTTAAGGAGCCATGAAGAAGTAGAGTCCAGTATAGTTAATAGTGAACAAGACAAAGGCGGCCAAATTGATAGGACCCGTTAGAGGGAGGCCATGAAGCTCAACCAACTTAACCACTTTCACAAACACTAAAGAAAAAGAGGTAATGAAGTAGGGGTTAACAATGATGACGGTCGGACTGGTCCAAATCTCGTCAAATCTCACATGTGGTGCAACCAAATCACACCACGAAACTTGATGTTTGACAAGGCATCTGAATTTTATGCGGTTAATGATTAGTGGTTTGAATGGATCGAAAGTACACGGTTGTAACACCAAACCGTAAACCACAAATTATCGTAAAGCTCCAAAACGTGGAACAGACTTGAAGATGTGAATCACTATGACGTAAAAGCTAAAAAGCACCACACGGGAGGAAGGTTCATCCTTTGCCTCTTTCCTCATGTTGCAATTGCCTCTTTCCTCAGAGATGGACTCATGGCACTCTTTCCTATTCCTCTTACCAGTTTCCAGCAGCAGATAGTGACTATTCGTATCTTGCTTGATTGGTTTATGTTTGTTTGGCCAATTTATATGAGGCAGTCACAACCAAATCCCACCAAATCACTAATTTATGTGGTTTGATTCGACCGCATCAATTAATTTGTGGTAACATTTATGGTGCGATCCAATGAACTTACGGTGCGCTGGGATTAGCATGATTGTGGTACAGTACAATCGGACCATACCATTTGCCCACCCCTATCACGAGGAAGAAGACAAGATCACACACTATACTACTATAGTCGTCGTCATCTCCCAGCTTGCGGTGAGAGTGGTTAGGAGGAGGCCCACCGCCACCGGCACGGCGGAACCAAAGCGACTGAAATGGATTTCATATTTTCTGAGAAACTCGCCTCTTGATTCCTCTTAGCTAGATATCCAGAAATCCATGTGGGGCAGTGGACTCTTTAGCAGGAAGTGGAGTTTTGCTTGCTGACAGTATCATGATTCCTATTTCGGTAGCGTAGGATCGAGGCTGGGACCCTTGGGCAGAATTTGTAATCCGAATCAAAACGTACTTCCGTGCTTGAAGCTCGTCTCCATTACACCACTCGTACATGATTCCATCCGTCCCTCGCGCTTTCAGATGATTTGAAACCTACCCATTATTGATTCACCTCTGCCGATGAGAAAACAGAAAAAAAGAAGAGGTATTCTCCCGAGTCACCTCATTTGCTACTTGCAGCAAATCCAGCTCTCTGCTTTCTGAGTTTGGCTGAATCGGACGTGAATTTGCTTCAATGGGTTTTGGCAAAGCATCTCTCCGGTGCCTCTTTTTGTTTTCTTTCCTCAATCCCAGACTCCCATTGCTGCAGTGCTGTCACCCGCCGAATCACATCACATCACATCACCCTAAATTTGTCTGAATGCGGCAGAGGACACCTCCAGCCGTTACAAATAGCTTCATCCCATCCCCATGTAAACTACACTCTATTCTTTGCTTCATCATCGCAATAATTCCCCTGCCTTTGAATAGCGTTTAATCGATCGGAGATATGGGAGAAGCCGATCAGCAGCCGGCCGGCCTGAAGCTAAGTGTCATGGGTAAGTGAATCCAAAACCTTTCTCTGAAAACAGAGTGCTAGCGTATTCTGAGTAAAAGAAGAATTTCTCTCGTGATATCAGTCCACCACCACCGCCGCTTTTTAGCATTTTGATTAGTAACGTTAGTTCCAACTTCCAAGTCCAAGAAAAACGTTCCTTCTTTGCTTTGCTTGTATCGGAGAACAAAGTAAACTTGAACCGGAAAAGAGTACTATTCACAGATCTTCAGATTATAACTCCCTCTTCCTTCCCGTTAATTGCCAATGTTGTTTCAGGACTCGAATCAGGGGAACCCACCACCGTCGCCGAAATGGTCACGGATCCCAGAACCCGCCGGATGTGGTGGATTCGAGTCTCCATGTACATCGCCTTCGTTATCGCCGGACAATCGGCGGCGACGCTGCTTGGAAGACTCTACTACGCAAAGGGTGGCAACAGCAAGTGGATGGCGACCCTCGTCGAATGCGGCGGCTTCCCGGTCCTCATCCCTCTCTACATCCTCACCAAGAAAAACTCGCCGCCGGCGAACAGCAACAGCAATTCCACCTCCCCTGTTTCCCTTCCGATCCTGACACTCGCTTACACCGTCATGGGGATTCTGATTGCCGGATTCAGCTTGCTCTACTCCGTGGGACTGATGTACCTTCCTGTGTCAACCTACTCCTTAATCTCCGCATCCCAATTAGGGTTCAATGCCCTCTTCTCCTTCTTCATCAATTCCCAGAAAATCACCGCCTACATCCTCAATTCCCTCGTCCTCCTCACTCTCTCGTCAATTCTCCTCGTCTTCGAAAACCCTAGCTCCGCCGAATCGTCCCAATCGGGTTCCTCGCGGCGCAATTTTGCGATTGGGTTTCTCTCCACGGTCGGGGCATCCGTCGGGTACGGACTCCTGCTAACCCTGACCGAGTTCTTCTTCGAGAAGGTGGTGAGGAGGCGGACGTTCAAAGTGGTGGTGGACGTTCTGGTGTACCCGCCGGCGGTTGCAAGCGCGGCGGTGGTGGCGGGGCTGTTCGGCAGCGGGGAGTGGAAGGGAATTGGGAAGGAGATGGAAGGGTTTGAATTGGGGAAAGCTTCGTACGTGATGACGTTGGTGTGGACGGCGGTTTGTTGGCAGGTGTTCTCGATTGGGTGCGTGGGGTTGATCTTCGAGGTGTCGTCGCTGTTTTCGAACGTTATCGGTACGTTTGGGCTGCCGGTGGTGCCGATTCTGGCGGTGGTTTGTTTTAGGGACGAGATGGGTGGTTTGAAGGTGATTGCTATGGTTTTGGCGGTTTGGGGGTTTGTTTCGTATCTCTATCAACATTACCTTGACGACCGTGATGATTCGAGGTCCAAGTTTGAGAGTGACGGTGGCCGGAGCTCCGGCGGGGGATATGATCAGGAGACTCTGGGAGATGGCTTGTTAGTGTAGAAAAATGTGTAGTGTGGAAGTAGCTAGGGTATTGTCGTATTGAACTATATTGGTCGAGTTCTTCGGGTTGGAGGCAGCATATGATTCTATGTTTCCTGCTCCACGGTTTCGTTATTTGATGTGAATAAGGTGATGAGAAAGTAACATATGTAGTATTTTTCATTTAATTGTTGCAAGTTTTCATTTAATTGTTGTAAGGTTATTGAGGTATTGTAATCATGTAGAGGCATTGCAATGTAATGGTCAAATATATATTAGGGACATCAAAATTGTATTTATAAGTAATTTTTTTACATAAAATTATTAACTTTTATTAGGGGTGGGAAACTGGACGGGATTGGGTACTCGTCCCGTTTGAAACGGGTTCCATTTGAAGAGAAAATTCTATCCCATATCTCAAACCCGTACGAATTAACGGGTACCCGTTACTCGTACGGGACGGATAATGGGTACCCGCGGGTACCTATATAATACTGACAAATATAATTGGTTTTCAAAAAACCTAAACATACAAAATCGACCAAATTAATATTAAAACCAATATAACCATACCGAGATAACTACAATCATTCTTTACGTTTATGTCTTATGTATGTTGATTAATTAGGACAGATGGGTTGTGTACGCGGGAGAGACTAAAACTAGTGCATTACTCCTTTCTTAGGCGTGCGAAGTATCAATTTTTTTAGTTCAAAAAGTAAGGCCAAATTCACTTGCATAGCCAAAACTTTGACGGTTGTGACAAATATAGCCACTTTTGAAGAAATACCAGAAATAGCTAGAATTTTGAAAGTTCGATGACAAATATAGTCATTTCCGTTACATAGTTTGACGACGTCAATGACACCGTTAGTCTATTTAACGGACAGATGATGTGGCTGCCACCTCACCGTGTCTTTCCTTCCCACCTCAGCATCCATTGACATGTAGGATGCCATGTCATTTTTAATGGGTAAAAACAAATCATAAATCAGGTGAATAGAATTCAAAATTTTATTCTTTCATTTCCCCAATTTCATCCCATTTAGGGTTTCCCACCTCGTCCTCCAAAATCTCATCCTCGGCGTCTTCCCGACCACCAAAACCTCCTCCTCGGCGGCGTTTTCCCGGCCAACACCCTTACCTCCCTCGTTCAGCTCTGCGTCCTCGGCTTGCAAAACACCTCCCTCACCGGCCCCATCCCCGACCTCTCCAACCTCCTCAACCTCAAATCCCTCTTCCTCGACCACAACTACTTCTCCGCCCTCTTACCCCCTTCCCTCGCCTCCCTCCACCGCCTCCGCACTCTCGACCTATCCCACAACAGCCTCTCCGGCCCCTTGCCCCGCTGGCTCGCCTCCCTCGACCGATTGACCTCGCTCCGCCTCGAGTGGAATCGATTCAACGGCTCCATCCCGCCGCTCAACCAGTCCTCCCTCCTCTCCTTCAACGTCTCCCACAATGTCGACCTGATTGGAGCGATTCCCCTCACCCCGACGTTCCTCCGCCTCGAGATCTCGTCATTCTCTCTAAACCCTAACCTCTGTTTCGCGGTGGCGATTAAGAGGAGATGGAGGAGCCGGAGCGAGTTCTCGTCGCCGGAGAAGGCGGCCGTTGTGCTCGACGACGCCGTGTTGCAAACTCTCTGTCACTTTCATCGTCCCCAACGTCGATGGTCTCCCTTCGCCGCCGTGAAATCGTCGTCCACTCTCTCCCTTCCCTCCTTTTCTTCCCGCAAAGGAGCGAGATAGTTGATTTTGACGCCGGGATCTGAATGTTGCAGCGGTGAGCTCCGACTGACGACGATGACTGCGGTTGAAACCCAAACTCGATTCTGCCTCTGCCGTCAAGCCCCAATCATCGATTTTGTCCGTCGTTTGAAACCCAAAACTCAATAAGGCTTGTCGCAGGCAGAGCAAGCAAGATAGGTTTGCAATGGACAATAGAGACTTCGATGGCCATCTCTGGAAATATGGAACAGAGTTGGGTGGATCCAGAAAGCGATATCGGCGGTGAGATCGAAGAGACATTGAGAGAAGGATGCAGAAGACGAAGAGGGGTTGTGGAAGGTCGTCGATTTCAGTCGGGAAGAAGAAGACTAAGAAGGAATCGACGACCAACGCCAATCTGGAGAGGGGGAGCATCGTAGTTCGTCGTCGGAGAAGATGGGTTCTTCTCTGGAGGTCGAATCGGGGTAAGGGAAGGGGAAAATGAAAAGGTTGGAGAGTGACTGAGGCGTAAAAGATGCATTTACCGTTTCGTTTACTTTTTTTTTCACGTGGAATTCACTTGGTTGGGTAAAAAAGCCACGTCGGATGGTTCGTTTGTCCAGTCAGCACTCTAGCTAACACCGTCAAACAATTGGACGGAAGTGGCTATTTCTGGTATTTCTCCAAAAGTGGCTATATTTGGCAAAAACGTCAAAGTTTTGGCTATACAAGTGAATTTGGCCCAAAAGTAATAACAGAACAGTGACAATATTCATAGCTCTGGTAAAGCGTCTGGTTAGTTGGGTTAAGTTCTTGTGATTCAAAAAAAAGTCTCGTGAGAGCTGGCTGAGCAGCTGCTAGCTCAGGTTCCTTTTAATAATAGAATTGTTTGTATTCGAAGGGAAAAAGGTAGGGATGTCAATCCAACCCGTAACCATGGGTATCCTACCCGACCGTACCCGGTCAACGAGGGTAATTACCCGCTTTGACGGGTTAAGGGGAGGGTACGGGTAATACCCGGTTTCAAAATAAAGGGTAGGGTACGGGTATGGTAATCGATAATACCCGCCCCGCTAACCAAAGGGTCAATTTCCCTTGAGAAATTTAGTTTAGCTTGAGAAATTGAGTTTAGCTACCATTATTGATGATGAAGATGTAGACTATTATGTTTGTGTGGATTGTAGAAGCAAGAACAATTATTATGTGTTTGCTTTTTTTATTTGTGTGGATTGTTGAAGTTAGAACAGTTACAAGTATTGAGAATTTTTAATGGACAACAATATGTATGTGCATAAATGTGTATAAGTTCATAGTTTAGGATTTGTACCCATGGTTACCCGAATACCCGTGGTTACCCGGTGGGTAGGGTATGGTTATATAATTTTCATACCCGGTGGTTAATTGGTCGGGTATTTTAGAAGGCTCTACCCGGCGGGTTAGGAGTTGGTATAGGGTAAACCCGCACCCGACCCTACCCATTGCCATCCCTAGAAAAAGGTGACATAAACCACAACTAGGTCCGTTAAAATGGCTCAATTTTTGGCCTAAAATATATCTAGCTTAATTATAGGAGAATTTAGATACGGGTGTGATGGTTTTGGCGCTTGTGTTTTTGGCTAATGGGTATTACGAGTATCCGTATTACCTAGATGGGTATTAACGGGTATTTCGCGGGTACCCAATGTTGAAATTATTGATCCCAAGTCTCATCCCGTAAAAAAATTTAAGGATATTTGGTTACCCGTAACCCTAAAGAATGAGACGGGTATACCCAAATACCCGTTTCCTGTTGCCCACCCTAACTTTTCTATTTCAATTTTCACAATTTGTGAGTAGGAGATATGAAAACCTCTCGGTTATATTTATCTCTAAGGATTTTTTTCTCTCTATTTGGTTGACCTGCCTGTGTGTTTTCGATGAATATCTCTAGCCAACTTCGACGATCTTTACATCTCGGAGAATACACTGTGACTCGATGGTCTCCGCATTTTTATCGCTCAAACAACTGCTCTCTCTGTTAATTTGGAGATGACACCAATAGCAATAGAGGTGAAAGGTAGGCATGACAACGAGTGGATATGGGGCCGGATAGTGGCTCCCCGATCCCTGTCCGCAACTACAAACGGGTTTTACTGGAGTTTTTCCAAAAATGCTATATAAATTAAAAAGAATTCCTACAATACACAACTTTTATAAATATTTACCAAAATATCAAAGTTTGGCACAGTTCGAGTTCACTAAACTCGATCCACGTACTGGATCGACTTTTAAAGACTCGATCAAGTTTTGATCGTTAGCAAAAAACTCGATCCACTGTGCATCGAGTTTACCAAACTCGATCTAGGTAGATCGTGGCTCTAAGACTCGATCAAGGACATATCGATGACAAAAAAACTCGATCCATTTTGATCGATGTTGCAGAACTCGATCCGCGTGCATCGAGTTCACCTAACTCGATCCATATGAATTATTGTGTGGCACTAGATCGAGGATTATGGACTCGATCTCCTCATAGTTCGAGTGCTTGATACTCGAACCACATATCAATAATTTTGCCAAGTCTCTTTCCGCCCGACATGCTTCAGGATAGGGTGTAGGGATATGAATTTTGGTTGGAGTGGATCGAGTCCTTTGCACTCGAACTGCACTAGTTCGATTGACAAGGCCTCAAACCAAGTCATCATTTTATGAAAATAAAAATCAAGCTCTCAGCTCATTATGACAACTCATATACTTTCTATCTTCTTTCTTCCAAACACAAACTGCAGCAGCTGGAGCACCATAACTGAGCAAAGAAGAAGCATTTTGGGGGTAAGTTTTGATTATGTTGGTGAGTGAGCATTAGAATTTCAGATTAATTTAGTATTGTTTGAAATGTATGTAATGGGTTGTTTCTATAAACCGCAGAAATGGGTAGAAAATTTCGAAAATTCAACCTATTGATTCGGTGGAATGGTAGAATTATATATTTTCAGAATAGTATTGACTACGAAGATGGTGAATCAAGTACTGTACGTATTGAGAGCATATTTACTTGGCAAGATCTCTGCCACATTTGTGCGGAACGATGTTGCATAGGGGGCTAAGAGTATGCAAGATGACTTACCGTATGCCGGTTTACAAAGGATATGCACTTGAATATGAAGGATCAATTCTGTCTGGCGATGATGACATTAATATGATGGTGAGATTTATTGCAGAAAATATATTTTCAATCGCCGAGGTGTATGTCGAGACTGCAGATGTTGGCCAAGATGGTGGTTGGGGTTATACTGAAGGTGAAGGATCGGGTGGAGTTTTCGATTCTGGAGATTTTGGAGCTCTGGATGATGTACCATGGTCAAGATACAAGGATCGAATTGCCCCTACTCCATTGGTTGAACATGACGGACAAGAGTGGCCAACATGGGGTGAAGAATGGGATTACATAGGGGCACCCAGACGGGCACCCAGAAAAGCATCTGACATCAACAATGATCCATATGTGGATAAACCAAGTCCTCCGTACACTAGCGAGGCAAGTGACGTAGTAGAGGAAGATTTAGAATTAGTGAGTAGTTCAGATGGTGAAGATGTGGAAGTTGATGAGGGGGAATTTGAGCCCCCCACACCTCACTACACGATGGTGCCACAACATCCTCTCTATGCTCACAACGATGATCCTGACCTCCCTCCTATACCAATCCGGACTCCTGACTCGGGGTTCGTGGTTGGTCAAACATTTGGAGGAAAGCCTCAGGTGGTCGATGCATTGAAAGAACCATGGCGACACCAATATCGTGTCATCACTTCCGACACCAAACAAATTCATGTCCGCTGCGAGAACCATGGTGACGGATGCATGTAGCATGTTCGGGCTACATGTTAAAAAAATGGGAATTGGCTCATTCGTAAGACAGACAACAACCACACGTGTAGGTCGTCACTAATTTCTCCGTATCACCGACAGTTAAGTGCAATGAAAGTTGCACAAACAATCAAACATCTTATTGAGGCACAACCTGAGATCGCCGTGAAGAGTGTCATCGCTGAAGTGAAGAATCGACATGGCTATACCATCAGGTACAAGAAAGCATGGCATGAAAAGCAGAAAGTTATGACGGAGGTGTATGGAGATTGGGAAGAGTCATTTGCTAACCTGCCTCGTTTGATTCTTGCAATGATTGACAAGAATCTTGGGTTCGTTTTTGTGCTTAATTACCAAGATTATGGAGGTGGTGCTAAACGCGTGTTTAATCGACTATTTTGGGCATTCAAACCATGCATTGATGGTTTCACCCATTATCTGCCAGTGATCCAAGTTGATGGAACCTTTCTCACCGGAAAATACAAGGGAACTCATTGCCACCAGTGTTGATGGTAGTATTCAACTTTTCCTGCTTGCTTTTGCTGTAGTTGAATCGGAGAACAACTTAAGTTGGACATGTTTTTTCCCCCAACTATACACTCGTGTCACTCAACGGAAGGACATTGCAATACTTTCCGATCGACACCATGGAATTGCACACGCAATGTATGACTTGCCTGAGGAGTTAGGGTGTAAGTGGCGCGGGTGCATACGATATTTCAAAAGCAAATACGGGAAGCACTTTGGTCAAACTTTTGGACAACGTGCAGTTTGGCACGCTGGTAAGAACAAATAAGATGTTTCTTTAACTCACTTGGTTGAATTCTTCTACTCCTTTACTAACCCTATTGACGCAAGTTTCAACCCATCAACCTAGTTAAACAACCCGCTAGTCAAATACTCTTTGTGTAGCTAAAGTAAATAAGTGAAAATAGATGTTGTGCTTACCAATGAACCGATCACGGCACCACGTTTGGTTACCCATCTTTTTGTGAACTTGCGGTACCAAACCATGTATTCACCTTGGTACCCCATTGGCCTCGTCCTTGGGATGCCATCATTTGCATACATATGACGAGACTCCCACATACCAATCCATCTATGGTGCTTGGTTGGCCAATCACTAACTGTACCCTGCAGATCCTTGCTGTATTTGTGGATTGACTTATGTACGTCCGGTGGTGGGAGAGGAATCGGCTGCGCGGGAGGTGCCACTCGACGATGTGGCAAATCACAGGCAAATTGCACGACCAGAGTCAATGATTCTCGGCTACCGCAACTCGTACATCTCCTTGGCTCCGTTTGGATATGGACCCAATCCACCTAAGTTTTAACAAATAAATTAAGGTCCATACATATAATTTTAACAAATAAAATAGCATTCATATTCATAAAAATAAATTAATTGCCAAGAAAGATAATTTCAACAAATAAAATAGCATTCATATTGAAAAAATTAAATTATTGGCTAAGACAAATATTTCAACCAATAAATACTATTCATAGTCATACAAATAAATTAGGAGTTAATAAACTAGAATGTTACCTCGTTGAACTCTATACTGTCAAGATGTTGGCGGTACTCGGCTAGGGAGGAGAGTCTCGTGATAGCTCCAATCCATCGAGCACCATAAGCCGCTTGCCGTAGTGGCTCTTAGGAACCCCAACTGTCGACAGGGTAGATTGGAACGAAAGTAGGAAGGTGCTCCCAAACCCATAGTTGGAGGATGAACATGGCACCACCCGCTTGCTTTGTTTTCGGGTCCGTACACTTGCACAACTCCGAGCATATCATCCCCAAACAAGCTGGTCACCAACCAGACCTTTTTTCCCAATCTCGTCCCAATCTCCCAAAAGAACTCGGAGCCACATACAATTTCCACCAGACTTGTTCGGAAACAAAAATCCTCCAACCAAACAAATCAGGTATATGCGAGCATACCTTTCTGTTTGAGCATCTGTGGCATCCTCCGACGACATACCAAAGGTCCTCACTAGCCAAGGAATCGATAGAATAGACTTGTGTAGCGGTGGTACATGATGACCTTTGGCTGCTTCCTCGGGGATGTTGATGCCTAATTGCTCGCTTATGAATTGGCCCCAACCATTCAATGGTTTCTGTGAACTCTGTATTATGACATTTCCATTGATTGGAAGCTCTGTCACATGGCCACATCCTTCAACGTAATCGTCATCTCTCCCTCCAGAAGGTGGAATGTGTGTGTTTCTTTTCTCCACCTTTCCACTATTGTCGTAAGGAGGTTGTTGTCCATCTCCATCCCCACAAAGTACGCACCCTCAGCAATCCAGTCATTGGCGTAGCTAGAAATATAATTTAGTGGGGTCCAAACTCAATTAAATGTTACTAGACATGGACCCGCCCGTTGGACGGACGTATTTCGTAAATAGCATAAATAACAATCGCAACTATACAAAGCAATCTAATTTATATTTGATACCATAAAAAATTAAAATGAATGAATAAAAAATAAAAAATAAACATATATCATGGAGTTTTCTGTTGTCCTAACATATGCATCAACGAAAGTTCTTATTTAAAGTAAAGAACTAAACCCATTAAATGGAACTACTCCTAAAAAGTACACTCACACCACATTTCGATTACTCGTGATGTCAAAGATTACTACTAAATTTCTTTTTGACTTCTTTCTGATTGCTCTGCCATCAACAACATTATCATCTCAACCAATAACATCACACTTATCTCTATTAATGAAACATATGTCCACCATCAATAGTTTCCTTCTTCTTCTCCCCCGTTACATTCAAAGCAAAATTTTAAATTTCATCATATTTTTGATGAAATCAAGCTTATAAATGTGAATTATCAGAACATCATCGCCAGCTTGGAGTGTAGTATTTGATTGGAACTTGATCACCTATTTGTTAGAAATTGGCATGTAATTTGTTATTGGTAGACTCAATTTGAAGTTCTTAAAGGCATATACTATGTTGTCTTGAAATTAAGATTGCCAATCGTTAATCACATGTTTGGATATTTGCACCCAAATACCATTATCCTCAGAAAAGTAAAAATATTAATAATTTTTTCAAATTTGAATCATAGAGTCAAAATACGTGCGGTCGTCATGAAACTATTAGTTTGTCTTCCTAATCGATAATTATCATATGAAGATGAAGAATAGTATTTGTCTTGTAATCTATTGCGAGTCGCTTTCCAGAAACATGACTGGAGATCTAACTCCTTTATTGAGTTGTTAGATCAAATAAAATTTTGATTTTCATGTTGACGGTCCTTCAGTAGTGGGAATCTCATTGGAATATGAGAACATTTACCATCTCTAAGATAGGGGGTGCTTGCGAGCAATGTAAATATATTATGGTATGCATACAAATCTATGGAAGAAACTGAGAAGTAAGACTCATGACATAGATAATCTAAAATATAAAACAACTAATAAATATTAGGGCAAATACTAATTATTAGCCAAAAAAATTTCACAATCTTTCTTATTAGCCAAACCTATTGAATCACTAATAATTAGCCAAAACTTTTGTAATGCATAAAAATATTAGCCATCACTAATAAGGTTTTGGAATGTTGACTTCAATGTGTCTTCCAATTCAGTATCATGTAAGTCAAGATTACTATATGAAAGTTAACATTTGGCTAATTATTAGTAATTCAATAGGTTTGCCTAATAAAAAAATATGAAAAAGGTTTGAATAATAATTCGTATTTACCTTTACTATTAATAGTTAACCATTTCTTTTTTGTAAAATCAAACCAAAGATATCAAATATAGGGATGGCAATTGGGTCTCAAAGTTTGGGTATTACCCAAACCCAACTTATTATGGATCAAATCAAGTTGGAGTAATTTTGCTTTTGGGCATAATCATACCTAATTTTATAGTTTGGGTCTAAATTGGATCCAAAATATTGGAAGTCCAAAAAAATGGGTACCCAATTATAATGCAACTTTTGTATTATTTTTTGTTATGAAAATAATTGAAAGATGAAAATACCTACATTAAATGTATACAATTGGGTTGAAAGTAGTCAATCAATAGTTGATATTATTTTTTTATATAATCATCTAGACACAATTAGACCTTTTGGTATAACCCAAATGAATTGACTCAAATAAGACACAACTCATACCCAACTCATACGCAAAATCTTTAAAAGTGCATATAGGTCCATTTGGGTCCGACCCAATACCATAGGGTCATGCCTGTCGCATGGATCAAATTATCCAATGAGTCTATCCAATGCCATGTCTAATCAAATATACTATTTGGAAGTCTTGGCTCCAAACTATACCCTAATTTGTTAGAAATAACTTCAATTTTAATTGTGACGATGAAGAGTGATAATAGTGCCTTTAGCTTGTTAAATTATTTAAAAAGAAAAAACTTGAGTTCAACTAAAATTACTTATGATAAAATTACTCGAGCTAACTAAACTTAGCTTCAACACTTCAACTTAAGGACGCGGTATTATAATTACTTTTTAGAGGTTATGCGTAATATTTTTTAAATTAACATGACAAATATATCGTCCCTAAATTCTCTCTAACAGTTAAAAATTTTAAATGAAATATCTTTTGATAGGAGAGCGGATCCAGTGACAAGGGGTTGCTTACTCACTTGATTAAGCCCCTCCCAGTCCTTAGATTTGGACATATCAATCTGACGGTCAAACAGTGGGAAAAGCTTTTTATTTAATGACATGGGTAGTTTGGGTATCATGAAAAATTACGAAGTATACAAATCAGACTTACAAACCATACAAACATACGAACAATACAAACTAGAGCGAAAAAACATACAAACAGATTTACAAACAATACAAAACATACGAACTATACAAACAATACAAATTAGACCGACAAACATTACAAAACATACTAATAGTACAAAATACCACTACTTACAATACAAAACAGTAACTTGTATTACAAATCAATGAATACAAAGTATACAAACCACAACATAAACTATATAAACTAGAAAAACAAAAATTATAAATTACAATATATATAAAATAGTCATATAAACATTGCCAAATACACTTGTGTAGCCAAAACTTTGACGGTTTTGCCAAATATAGTCAATTTTGGGGAAATACCAATAATAGCCAGAATTTTGAAAGTTTGATGACAATAATAGCCATTTCCATTACAAACTTTAACGGTGTTAGAAACTCCATTAGTTAAATTAACGTTAGGTTGACTAAGATGTCAAATCATCACACACGTCAGCGACAAGTCATCTCTCTCTCTCTCTCTCTCTCTCTCTCTCTCTCTCTCTCTCACGATGGGGAATTATGGTCGGCTGCGACGGGGATGACAGGGCCGGCCTGCAGAGTCTCTTTTGATTATTAATTATTAAAAAATAAAATAACCATCAACTATGCAATTACTACATTACCCTTCATTAAATTGAATTAATTAGAGTCATTGGACTTTAATGAGCTTGAAAGGCTGAGATCAACTTAGGCAAGTGACTAAGGGACCCCTCATTAGTCACCTGATCTTGGCCCTTTTGATAGAGAACCTCCACAAATAAGTGGTAGGATGTTTGTCTCAATGGTAAAATCATTAACTAATGAAGGGGGTCCATGGTTCAAAACTTACTAACTTCACCTTAAATTTTCATAATTTTTAACGTATATTTATTTTCCAAGTGGGGTCCATGGACCCCACATCCTTTCACCTAGCTCGCCAATGAATCCAGCTCTTTCAATGAATGGCTCGATACGAACATCCCATCGAGGCAAGCGAGATAGCGACCGATGGGCGATTACGTCAATTTGTTCCTGTAGAAAAGAACCCTTAATTATTATACAAAAAAACTAAAAGAATAATATAGCATTGAAAGAAAAAAGGTACATAAGGAAATGCTTACCGGGTCTGCCGTCCAAACACTTTCAGACCGATGGTAAAGTTGCTCATCCAACAAATCGATTTCTCGCGGTCCGCCTTGAATATATAATCTAGGATCGTAAATAATCAGGTCCATCTCGACAATTTTGAGTGATAGAGGTGTCAAACTAAAGAAAAAGATATGATGCGGAAGATCGGATTTAGCTGCAACCACAAGGCATATTTTTTTCTTCAAGAGTGGTGGAAGGAAGAGAAAAAGAAGAGTGGAGTGGTGTGAGTTTTGGTGGGGTGGGTATTTATAGGTTATGTGGGTGGTTGTGGATCGAGTTTAGAAAACTCGAACTAGTAGATTGAGTTATGTGCCATCGATCCATGTCAAATAGCTGTTCATGGGATGGCAAATCGAACGGGCCAGATCGAGTTCTAGACACTCGATCAATGATAGATCGCATTCCATGTCATCGATTTGTGTCAAATAGAACAAGTACCAAGAAGTCGAACCACTTGCATCGAGTTTAATGCACTAATTCCGCGTCATTCCATGTTCGCGGTTGAAGAAATCGAACGGCCAACATGAGTTTCGCTCACTGGATCAATGGTGAGGCGAGTTCCAGGTCATCGATCCGCGCCACTTGATCTGCATCGTCGAGTTTCATCCAATCGCGATCGTTCCACTCGATGCACGTGGATCGATTATTTGGCACTCGATCTGGGTTGTAGTTCGAGTTTATTAGACTTGATCAGCGCCAAACTTTGGCATTTTGGGAAATTTTTATAACAGTTGTGTATCTTAGGAAGTTTTCTTAATATTTACTGTATTTAGGGGGAAAATTCGATTTTACCCGTCCCTGTCTGGAATGAACTATGGATAGTAAATGGCTACCCATCCCTGTATCCATACGGGTTTCGGCATTCCCCGACTGGTCGAGTTTTACCCGTCACACAGGATGGTCTGCGACGGAGCCATCGATGATGTCCAACGAGAGCAAACCCTCCACTAGAACTGTTGCCTTCTCGTCCTCTGCGGCAGTCGGTGGCAAAGGTTTCTGATCCTGTCAAATCGAATAATCCGCTAGGGGTTTCTGTACCTGGCGGTAACCACAAGCAAATTATAATCGACAATGGCAGAGATGGCGATTGACTCGTCTAAATTGACCCGCCTCTAGCTCTCGTTCTTCCTCCACGAGGTCGATTGAAGATGAGAGAAGCGATCAGGGGCGGACCCAGGGCACTTTGGGGGTGTCATGGGACACCCCTAAATTTTCGGAAAAAGATTATCCAACACTCCGCTGTAATTTACGTATGGACAAAAAAATTATAATTGATAGTGAAGCACACCCCTGAAATTTGAAAATATGATTATCCTAGTCTCATTTTTTAATTTGCGTATAGGAATATAAGTGATAG